AAAAAAAAAAAAAAAAAAAAGGTTTCATATACAAGTAAATAAGAAACCAACAGAAAAAATTAGGGGTGGGCAGGATGGGCTATCCTTCCCAAGTTGGGTGGCTTAGCAACGTGGGTTGCACTGTGGAGTGCAATAAGTGCGTTAGAATTTTGGAATTGGTTAAACTCCTAAATTTGATCCCTCAATTATCATATTTTGGTTTGGTCCATGAACATAAAAATTTCTTTTGATCCTTAAAGTTTGAAATTTTAGTTTTTTTGGTCCATCTTTTAAATTTTTATTGAGGTGGCTAGTTAATTAATGGGAGAAGCATGACATGTCCAAAATTTTTTACACCTAAGATTAACATCATGGATAAATAAATGACATGATAAAAATACATTGGCCATGTATTTCCTGCTTAGTGCCTCCAAAAATTTGGGGTTAATTAACCATTTAATGCTAAACAAGTAAACATTAAATTAAATAGCCTTAAGAAATTAGTTAAACAATTAATAAAACATTAAATTTCTTCAAAAAACCTAGATCAGACAAACCAGTCATTTTCAAGTCAACTTTCTCTGTCAAAAAACCAAACTTTGATCTAGGTTTCATATTCATTTATCCTTCATTTCTTCCTTCACAAAGTTTTGGCTGAGAAGCAAAAGTAATAGATCAATAAATCCATTTGAAGAATCCGATACCAACAAAGTGTGAAACTATGAAATGAGCAACAGAAACCTCGCAATTACCCTTCTTGAATATACTCGTACTATTAAAGGATGCTCTTTGTCATGTTGCTCACCTAGCATTGCAACACTATGCATGGATGACTACTAAAGAATCATTGACCACATTCGATGGTATTTATCATTGAATAGGTAGCCATCACCTCTAATCATAAGAATGTATGTAGTAAGAACTAGTTATTTAATGAGTGGGAACTATAGTGTTACAGCTAAGTGTATGTAGTAAGAACTAGTTGTTTAATGAGTGGGAACTATAGTGTTACAGCTAAGTGTATGTAGTAAGAACTAGTTGTTTAATGAGTGGGAACTATAGTGTTACAGCTAAGTCTATTGTCCACAACAAAGGAGGTTCTTAATGGAGAAGTGCAATTGTAAGCAACCACACACCAATTGGTCAAGTAGTGTACTAGGCTTTTTGTCTATTGTTGGGAGCCATGATGTTGTAATGTATTTAGCTTTTTGACCATTGTTAGGAGCCACGTTGTTGTAGTAGTGGAATTATAAGAAAAAGCCATGACCTTTATGCGTATTTGGCCATGTTGTCAAGACAAGTGTTGTCATACTAGATTGTTTATGAGAAAGTAGTGTTGATGAGAATATGTCTGTACCATTCATAGCGATGCTAGAGATAAATGTTGTCCTTTGTGGAGTTATTGATAGAAGATAATGTATAACATGTCTAATATAGAGATAAGTTGTGTGACCCTTTTAGTCATAAGTTCTAAAGTTGGTCTCGTGATGTGGTGCTACATACGGCTTAAAATTAAAAAATACAAATTCATCCCTCAATAATATACTAAAAACAAAGAAACATAATTTGTCATTGCTCTATTTAGTTTAATTATTAAGAACAACTCATAGCTGTAAATGCTAGTTGATAGTTGATTGTGTATTGAACCAATGATATCAATTTGAAATCTGTATAAAGGCTAAATTCCCAAACACCCTAACTAGATCTGTAAGATTAAAAAAAAAAAAAAGAATATGTTGATAAAAACAAAGAAACCAAACTATTGTGAATATAACCTCACACTAAATGCAAGTGTACACTATTGTCAAACAAGTAATATAATGATGAATCAGAATATTGTCCCATAAAGATTAAAGATTGGAAAAAAACTCTTGTTGAGTCTTGACGTTTTATTAATTCTAATTCTGTCTAACAACTTTGAAATTTAAGAATAAGAAACACGATTTAATCAATTCTAAACTAAACTAATTTGCAAAATTAATTCCAATTACTAAACAATCAAGCGACACAATTTTCACCGCCACAATCCTCTTCAAACTTCTCTTGTTGAATTCTCTCACAATCTATCAATTCTTGAGTGATTG